ATGAGATGTAGCTATTAAAAGACTTAGTAACTTAGTAACTTAGTAACACAAGTAATAAGTACCGAATTCTAAATTTGTGCTTGTGACATAGTTCAAATTTCAATCAATGAAAAGTAACTTGGTATGGAAATATGATGCTAACAAAATGAGTGTATCAGTCCCCTCGCATTGGCACATCGAATTTGGATAATATTTTAGATATTCTGATCTTTCTTGTGTACTGCATAAACGTGTTTGGTACAAAAATCTGTTAAATTCAGAGCGATTCTTTGAAAGAACAAAAGCTACCTTTTGGAGAAATTTGAGATATATATAAACAAAAGATAGCATTGATGAACTTGAGTTACTGATCAGTTCCTAGACCAAAAACGCTGAACTGAAAGATATACAACCGGTTCTTTTTAGAACTGCATATTCAGTTTTTTGAGATATCTTCTACTTCGACGTGGGTAACGAATATATAATTCTAGGTTTAATCAAGATTTAATTCTTAAGTCCATGTGATACTCGTAGATTTTCTTATCTGGCAACATTAGTAAAATCATTGTTAAGTGCCAAAATTTCAAAGTAACAGGACAGGACACTATAGACAGGACTGTGGTCGTAGTAGCAAACTCGTGATAATGTTGATAAGGCATTGGCCCGTAAGCACCCAATTCTAGTAGGTTATGCACAAAAACAGTAAAAAGAAATAAATGATTGCTGCCTAGCGAGATTAGACATTTTAGTACGAAAATATATGAATTAGTTCCAAATATAGACCACACAAAAATAATATTCTTTGTGAGCTCTGAAGGTTGATTTTACAACATTGGGTCTTATTCCTGAGAAAGTGAGGTGATCTGTTTGCAACTCTGACTGTAAATGCTATAGCAGTATGTAAATCCTCAGCAACGCCTACTAGAGGTAAAAAGCAGGCGGACAGATTTTAAGACAATCATGATTGTGGTGATTTTTAAATTCGATAAAAGTTTGTAGATCCTTGGTATTATTACAAATACTAAGGATCGGACATACAGAATCGAAGAAGAGTCAAGGAAGTTCTTATTATTATATATATTTTATTAAAAGTAAATATCAGCAATCGTATTCTCTAAGTCAATAGTATATAAAAAAAAACAACATTCGAATACGGTGTATAAATAAATATGAGCGTCAGAAAATACTTTAATACGCTTACTTGAATAATCTTGAATTCAGAAGTGAAAAATAATATATTTCCTCAATAATTCAACATTTGCTGTAAAATGATTTCCAATAAATAAAAGATGACAAAGGACTAAACTAATGGCAAAAATATACAAAACTCTTTAGAATCTAGAGGAGTCTCACATAAATAAATGCAGTTCAAAATGTTTGCATTTTATTGCCGTGATAATATCAACAACAGTTGCAGTGGCACAACTGCAGTTGTGAAAAGTTTTGAAAACCAAACCACAAAGAAATTATATGTGCTTAGATCCCACGATACTATTCCGAAGTTCTAAAGTCTGTTCGGAAGAATTCATGTGTAAAAGTTTTTCAGTTCGCAATCTGACAACACCTTGCGAGGTTGCCGATAGAAGTTTTACGCGCGAAAAACTTTCCAATACGAATTCATATTGCTTACGTGCTGTTTTGCTCCTATTATTGACGCCATCGTTGTTGTTGTTGTTTGTTGCAGTGCCTGTGCCTGTGACTGTGACTGTGACTGTTGTCGCTGGTGGTGTTGTCAACGAATAACTTTAACAAAATAATACAATTTGTGGACGTGTTCTAGTACTACGAGTACTCGTATTGCCGTTGTTATTGCAAGTAGCAACTTACCTACTTGCAATGACATCCTCCATTTTCTTTGATGTCTTGTGTATCAAACGTATATTTTCTTTCTTTCTATAATTTTGTCATGCACAAAATAAATAAATGGAAGAGTGCATATATAATGCCACGCATGAGTTCATGCATGTGAGCATCCTGGCAGCTCCAGGCAGGTGGCTGTTCGCTGCATTTGCTATTCAGGATTCAGGATTCAGCAGCATGCAGCATGAAGCATGAAGCATGCAGCAATTGCAACTCCAATAACAGCAATAAAAACTCTTAAAAGTTTTGTTCGCACTTAAAATCCATTCCTGTCAAGGTGATCTAAGGGAAACGTGCCAAAGTATCATCATGTAGTTCCACTTCAAACTACAAATGTTTTACTTATTCGCAGCGATGCCAGTAATACATCTATCGTAACTTTTATTTATAAAAATAAACTAAAATTGAGATATATTCGATCTGAATTGGAGATAAAATGTTATCTCGATACATTGTAACTTTATTAACTTAGAGTCTATACTCGTACCTTAAATGCATGCACACATACTGGTGTACTTGTAAGTACAAGACACTTACAGACTGTTATACTTGTATTTGCTCTTTTATTGAAATAAAATAAATTTATTTTTATTAAAAATATATTATTATCAAAATAAATATACAGAGAGTTTCAATTTAAAATAATTGAGCTTAAGACTTTTGCATTCCAAATAGAAGTTTAATTGTACGAGTATATACACTCACTATATAACAAGGTATGGGCTTAGCCATTAAGGAGCCATGCGACAATGTCACCTACTATGATAAAAAACAGGTCTTGAGGTATTGTTCTCCCCTCCTTCTTAAAGTATCTGAAAAGACAGATATTTACGACTTTAGATTTGCGGAACTTAAGTATTTGACATATTAACACCTCCCATACCTGCGTTTGTGAGACATTATTGTTGCAAGTGTGTGTTGTTTGATAATCGTATTGCATAGATATAAAACTCATGCAGAGTTCCATAGTTACCATTCGTGCTATTATGAAATATATTTAAATTTCGAAATATCTAGATTTAAAAGAGTACCAAAAAGTGACCAAAGACGTGGTGTTTAGTTTCGAGTTGGTTATATAATTATATTATTTTGTATAATTCAAAAATATGAAATCATCTTAATAAGCAGCAGAAGCCATACACATATAAGATCATATGTATTCCTTAAATCCTCTATCAATAAAGATGTTTATAGCACCTCTATTCATTTTTATTTATTACATGAATGTAAAGATTACATCCATATGAACTTCCAGCAGACTTTCTAGCAGACATCACACAAACATTTCACTCATCTATCATCATCTAGAAATCTATTATTTCTAGACGAAACACAATTGAGCTAGTGTACACCAATAAACAATAAAAATAAGAGCTCATTTATTTATCTATATAAATTAACCCTATTGCGAATAGGTTTAAAATCCTATTAAGGATAAACTTCAATTGTGCCATCATTACAGACTACGACTAATGCTCTATACTGTACCATCTTCACTCACTCGAGATTGAGTTTGTTTCATCAATTTCCAAAAGCTAGAACATCAAACACTGTGCAACTAAGTCAGTATTATTGAAATAAAAAGACCCAGGAGAAAATAATTATCATGCACTATTAAATAATTGCACAAGGCATGATTATCATAACTACCCTGATTAACTAACTGCTCACACGTATATCCTACACCGTTTCTTATTGTCATTATGTTTTTGCTCTACTTCGGAAGAAAACTTAGCATTTATTTGTAACCAGTAGTTGCTTCCAATTACTATTTACAAATCGACTTACAACTAAGAAATCCATCAACATATCAAACTAATCGCGAATCGGTTGAGATCACTATATGTTATCCTATAAACCCTTAATTTTACTCACACTTTTTTTAAATAAAGTTTTGTTGAAGTTGTGGGTACAATAACAATTGTTATATCGCCACAACTCACACTTACAAAAGTATTTATCTGGACTAAGAAGCGAATACGCGTTCAAAATTCTTTCGGAAGCCACATCTAGACTGCTTAGCTCATTCATGTTCATTAGTCCCAGTTCATTATAGAGTGGCCGTTTTGTCTGACAATTCTGTGCGGGTCGTTGGCCATTGTGTATATGTTCTACAATAAACAGTTCCAGCGGTTCTTATGACTGATAGTTCAGATGAAAGCCCAATGCCGCATGCTCTATGCAAAAATTGCCCCAGTGGGACTGAGTTGAGGGAATTGATAAAAAGATGTTGCCCGACCGCAGAAATTACATTTACATCAAACTGATGGCAAAAATCTTTAGAAGGTAATTCCCGACACAGACTCATCAGATATATTATTTATATTATTTAATTAATTTTATATTCCATGTTTAATTGAAGTTTTGTTTATTCAACTTAAACGGAATTAAACAGAATTACAGTAACTTTAATATAAGCTTTCAAGAAGCGGAACAAATAACACTTTCAGATGTATTTCGTTTTTGAATTGTTTGTAAATGTCAGCAATATGTTCAGATATATATTATATATTTATCAGAGTTGCACTCAACTTAAAAAAAATAAAACTATTTTATTGCAACGAAATGCTATAAAAACCTTCAATGATACATTTAATGAATGAACCTGGACACTGGGTTGTTTTCTATCTGCCAATTCAGTTTGAGGCCATATGGGATCCGTTGTTTGTTTTGTGTCCGACAGAAGAAAAGGAAGAAACAATCTTATGCGTTTGTTGGTCTTATTAACAATTCTTAGCCATTGATCTTCAGATCAAAGTCTCTGTTATTAAAAATACGTTGTTTCCAGTAATTAGTTCGATACTCTATGCTCTTTCGGCTTCTGCTTGGCCCGAAATGTCACCTGTTCATTTTAAACAAATTCACGCATTCACAAAAAAGCTCTTCGGGATTTCATTATCTAAAAGTATTGATCTAATAGGAAACACGATCCTAATTTCTTTATCTAAAAGCTTTCCCGATTGTTTAAGTTGTTTTGGTTCCAATAAGCATCTCGATAAGTGACTCATTGAAATCAGCTGTTCCGATAACTTAGTTATAGTTGGAATGTAAACAAAAATCATGTCAAAATTAATTGAAAGTAAAAATACAATGATTAGCGTTCAAATTTTATTATTAAAATAAATGAATTAAAATTAAATTATTAAAATTAAATAATCTCTTGAAATTATTGCATATAATTAATTATATAAGGCGGAATACGAGTAAAGGGAACCTTATTTAATTTGAGTTGGGTTGTATTTGGAGGGATTATTGTCTTTGGCTTATTAGCATCAATGTTTTTAGAACATTCACCTAAAACAAAAATATATTATTTATTTTCATTTATGAATTAAACTTATAAAGTTAGCAGCTAGCTACACTAAATTTTAAATTTTAATATTATTTCACGACATTGGATACTGCACCCGAAAACATATCTTAGCCCACAATTTGTTAAGTATACCATGTTTTTTATATAACATCAAAGTATTTACATACCTTCCACTGAAATTACATTATCCTCTTGACCTGTAGCTAGGCATTCCTTCTTGTCAACATAGTGCTCAGGTGTTATTGGTCTTCGGATGCATGTAACATTGGGGTAATCTTTAGGTTGACTGCTCTTTTCCTCGTCCACCCGTATGGCGACCCGTATGTTTTCCTCATTAACTTCTACCGTCTCTGACGTATTGACAGATTCTCCAGCAGTCATTTGTTCTTCATCACCACCAGCATAGGTATTAATAGCTGCAACATTATCATCAGGTTGAGTATCGTCTGCAATGTCATCACCCCTTATAGGGTCGGGGTGTACGTCCTTTAATGCCGCCTCAACTTCCTCAATCCCCTTCCGAAAAGCGGGATCTTTTAATGCCCTTGCCGTTGAGAATTTTTTTTTCGCCTTTTCTGTGTATTGAAAAAGATTTTGACGCTTAATATGTCCTTCATCGCCAGTTCCATAGAAGATAACAATGTAAACGCCGTTCTTATGAGAAGTGATCTTCGCCGGCCATGTAGGGTAACCTCTAACTTTTGCGAATACCAAATCCCCAATAGCAAAGACTACTTTTGGTTTACCCATTTTCGTTTACCAAATCAGAAATTTTGCTCTTCAAAATGATGTATGTGATGGTTTTCTTAATCACGTCAAATTGTTTCAACTCCTATTGCTTTGACAATATATTTAGAACTGAGTTGTATTTTTTCATTATATTATTGGAATATGACATATTTCACAGAACGTTCAGAATTACATCCATGGCTAAATAGATTATTTAGCCTATCATTTCAATGTATTGTGAGTTTACTTAATATGTCTGTACCCGTACTTTCCAAGTAAAGGAGAAGTACCATACCATTAATAATGAGCATGAAATCGTGTTTCCTTACTAAGAAGAGCAATTTATGCAAAAAGCATGGTATCGAGTTGTAATAAAAAAAGTGAAGAAATAATTACTTCTAACTCGTTGAAATCACCTGTTCCGATAACTTAGTTATAGTTGGAATGTAAACAAAAATCATGTCAAAATTAATTGAAAGTAATAATTCAATGATTAGCGTTTAAATTTTTATATTAAAATAAAATAAAATATTCACTTATATCTTTGATTTTGTGGAATTATTTAAAAAGCCCAGCAAAGTTCAATCAGCTGTAAAGTTAGTTGAACTTAACCAGCCTCTTCTCCTCTGTCTTTCATGAAGCTGTTTTTGGCTTCCGAAGAAATGGTGATCTGTGTGAGTTATAACAAAAATATAAGAAAGAAAGCTTCACGCAGATTACTTTTCTTCACATCGCCCAAGCTTATATGAAACATATACATCAACTTTATTTTATTACTGACTCATGCATTTATTGAGGCAATCCAATAAAGAAATACATTGCAGTTATTAGTATTAACTTTATTTATGAAACTCTAAATGTATACATAATATATTTAACTGAATATTAAACTGCAAGCATCAATGTCTGAATCATCATGGGTATTATCTTTTAAATCTTCCAGTTAATTAAACTACTCCAAATTTTGGAATGAATGCAGTTGGATGGTCTCCCGATTCATACCTCTTTGTTTTTATAGTTAATAACCTTTCATACGCAGAATTAGTTAAAGAAAAGCGATGGATCTTTGTCAAGTTCTGCGTGACCTTCATAAATTCTTTAACATGCTTATTAAATTCACACCAAAATTCTCCTACGCCATTGTAATTAAACAATCTCTTGAAATTATTGTATATAATTGTGGCATCGTGACGGATTAGTTTAGCAGTCCACTTGAAATATGCTTCTCCCTCGCTGGGCAAGTTCCACTGCTCTAGGTTTCCTACATATCTACACAAGCGGCGGATGATGCCAACATAATGTGGGTGGCGTAGCAACATCAATTGACTTAACTGTAACTTCTTTAAACCTTTCAGTTGTATTAGGCATTTACCAGCGCGTACACGATCCAATTTCACGTATTCACACAACTTCTTGCAATGCGTACTAAATTTACGCTCGATATTATCGTCTCTTTCTATCTCCGTAATTTGTGTAATAATGTCTGCAGTCATTTCAGAAGAAAGTTCCCAGATTGGGACATTTAAGACAAGTCTGTGTGCTACTAATCGTGGTTTGATTTCACCATTTTCCAATTGATCTTTTAATTTATTTGCTTCGACAAGAGCGGCAGCTTCCCATTGGAGACGTTCAGTAACAGATGCAAAGGATTCTGGTTTTTTGTAATCAAGTTTAATTGCAATGCAGTTAGCAGGTGGGATGAAAGCCAACAGTTTATTGTCGTATACCCATGGCTTTGGATTTGGAGCGATTATGCCTTCGATTTCAAGTGCCTCAATATCTTAAATAAAAGCATATTATTTATTTTCTTTTACGAATTATAATTTTAAAGTTAGCAGCTAGCAACTCATTCGAACTAAATTGAAATATTCACTATACGACATTGGATACTACACCCAAAAGACATTCCTTATACCGCAATTTATTAAGTTAACTATGATTCTCTATATTAAAGCAAAATATTTACATACCTTTTAATGGAAGTACGTCCTTCACTTGACTCTCATCCACATATTCCAAATTTCCAAGATATTCCTGGGAATTTATTTTGCATCCACTGCGTCTAACAATTTTGCAGGCTTCAGGTTGAATTTTTTCTTTGACCACTTCGCCTATTTGTTTTTCTTCACATACTTGTTCTTGTTCCTCTGGCGGATTAATGGATTCGGTGTTTTTGGCGCCTTGGTGTTTTGTATATCAATCCCTTTTTTAAAAGTGGAACGCTTCAAATGCTTTTGCGTCGAGAATCTTTTTTTGTTTTTATGTTGGCGATTTCGTTTGTGCCGTAAAAATATACCCCGTACTTTTCATTTTTATAATACGTAATTTTCGCTGGCCATGCAGGATAGCCTCTAACTTTAGCAAAAACGAGGTCCCCAATTTTAAACTGCTTTTTCGGCCTAACCATTTTCGCTATTAACTAAATATTTAGTCTTAATTGAAAAGCTGTCGTAAAAACGCCGGTAATGCTTCGTGTTAACGGCAACAGCTTATCTACAACTACAATTTCATAAATAAAATATCTATCAATCAACACTGCAGAGCTGTATTTTTTAATTTGGTCGTTCAAGTTTATTACATCCCGCACTACGTTCGAAGTCAAATAGTTTATAGCAATACATTCACGCTGTCAAATTTAGACGCTTGCTCTTTTATATTCATTAATATACGTTCACATTATAATGAGCCTATTTATGCAGCTAACAGAGCTTTTATAAACGTCATAAAATATATAATTTATGTATTAAATCATTTACATACATTTTATATATCAACTACATATTCAATTATTAAAAACAAAGACATTACTAAATACTTACTTCCTCAGTGCCTTTGTTTACAGCTCAGCTGTTGTTTGTTTACATTATATATATGAAATATGTGACACATACTTAAAATTTTAGTCATTTCCCTTGTGGGAAATTTATTTTTAAGGGTTGCATTCTACATTTTTTGCCGTAAATGAGCTGATTTATTGATAACGAACTCATTTATATAAAAGCTCTTTGTATGGTAAATCATTCTCATTAGTAGTTATTATGAGCAAAATCGCCTAAATCAAACAGTATGATACTGTGTTTCCACTGCTTACTTAGTAAGGTACTAATAAGGTACATTGGTCTTTTTTTCGTTTACATTAGCACAAGTTACTTAAGACCTGGGAAAGAGTTGATAAAAATTTCTAGTTGTAGAGCTTTTCTTTGTTTACATTATAATTGTGAACAAATGACATTAAATTTTTTATTGTTAGAAGAAAATAATGCAGCATGGAAAACGTAAAAAATTTAAATAATTTAATATATAATGTTTGTGATGTTGTTTATAATATGAATGCAGTATATATGAGTGTTGCATATAGAAAAGAACATGCAACGATTTATATAGAATATACAAATTAATCAAAAGCAACAAATAAAAGTTCTTTCTGCAATGGTTGCTGTTGTAGATGTAGATGAGAACAAGATTGGGAACAAGATTGCTAAAAAAATGGTCTTGATTTTTTTAAAGAAAATTTCGCATTGAGCAGCGAAATATATAATATAATATAATATACAATATAATCACAGTTAGTGAATTTTGTAAAACAACGGATACGGGTTTGGGCAGTTGGTTAAGGTGCGCTGACTCTGAGCACGAGTTAGATTCCTGGTACTTACAGTCTCAAAAAATTATTTACGAATAATTAAATGCAACAATTATTATTTTCAAGATCACTGATAATGGATAATTGGCAATAATTAAAACAGCTGTATGATCAGCCAAAAATTCAGATAATTAAAATAAAATAAAATAATTTTCATTGTTGTTGTTTACTACTGTTCGAAAAATATCTTTATGAAATATACTAGTTTCTATTAAATATAATAGTAACCTCCGTCCTCAACTTCCAATCCTAAAAAATGACGTTGAATTACAACTTATAATCAACTTTTAAAATTTCCCAGATACAAATGGTGTTTGGAGCATGTAATTTTAACATTCGATTTGTAAACAAAAAACATATGATTTTCTTAAGTGGTACTTGGTATATTGAAATGCAACCCTGTGTATCATAACAAAAACAAGTTTACTCAACTGTTTTTATGTGGAAGCAGCACATAACAAGTTTATGGCATATGTAGAAAGTGATTAATATAAAGAACTTGAATAATACATATAAAACTCAGTGAATATGAGATCGCAAGGTCTTGCATTGGAGCTGCCATAGGTTTGATTTTGGTGCAGTTCGTTGAGTGACGACAATGAAAAAGCCAGAAAAATGGATTTCTGCAACTATTGCCCATTTAATTAGAATCGTGGAATATCATTACTGGATTTGGTGAATATCTTAGAGTTGTCTTACTATTTGCATTACATTTCTCTAACAAAATTTTTTTTATTAATTTTTTTTTTTTTGAAAACCGTTGTATATCGGAGAAATATATTGCGTAGCACCTTTTTTTTGGTACAATAAATGATTTCTTTTTAGGCGTATGCAGTCGTAAATATTAATATTTGATAATAAATAATAGTTGGATAGAATCAGAAAACCAAGATTCTGATAATTAAAGACGATATATTAATTCCTATCCTAAAAAGTTTTAAATTCCTTTAAATATGCAATATTCGATATTCACATATTCTTACTCAATATAAGAAAGATTTCCCGTCGGTAGTTTGTCTACGTTAAGTTTACTTACGAACTTAAGCCGGACGTTGATTTCTATGGAGGACATAATCCATTCAATCCTTTCATTAATTATTTATCCTGGCGTAAATGCTTATAATATAGTTGACCTATGATCCCTCTAACATGAAAAAGTTGAAGATTTAAATTTTACTATGAGTACATATTTTAAATAGAGCAGTGTTTCCAAAATTCGTAATTAGATTTAATTAAATTACGAATATTTTTTTAAATCGAAATTTTTTTCGCTCTTTCAGATATCCAGATCAAAAAAAAATAAATAAAAAGGAAAGTTCAGTGGAAATTGAAGCATTGTATGTATTACTGCAATACAATGAATCTGAATTACTTCACTTACCTATTGAGATATTGTTGTATTTATGTGAAAACTATGACTATAACTCGTTCTAGAAATTGGTCATAGAATTTTTCTCTGCTATATTTAACCCAAAATATCATGAACTATACGTGATTTTTGTAATCTTTGGGTTATCATATAAATGTAAGTTTTGTGTGGACATATGCAAAATGAGGAGATACATTCTATTAAACATAAACATAAATAAATATTTAATTTTTACATTACCATGATAATATATAAATGACAACTTTTAACGTTTCAATGAGCAATTGAGCTTACACCTCCGAGCTGCTTGCCTTACAAGGCAATTCTGGCAAAAAGTCTTTCGTATGTTTCGTATGATCGAACGGAAGATAGTTTGTAAGATTTTAACTATTCTGGCAGAAATGTCTAAAAAAAATTTTGTCATTTTTAATTAACAAATTTTTTAATGTTAAAATAATTGAATTTTAAAATTATAGCTTAAATATACAAAAATAAATAGATGAAGAAATTAATGTTAAATAAATTTTATTAAATATTGAATTTCAATTACATATAAAAAATATACATACTATAATGTAAATACGTAAATTTATTAAATATAAATATATAAAGTATATATTTTAAAAATTTTTTAAAGACAATATAATATATCAGTATTTCATAAGGAGGTTTAAATATTATCAATATTTAAATTTTAAATATATGAAAAATATATATATATGGTACTATAACGTACATATGTAAATATATTATATATAAATATATAAAATACATATTAAGGTGCGTTGACTCTGAGCTTCAAATTTGGCAGGACACGAGTTAGACTCCTAGTACTTGCAGTCTCAAAAAATTATTTCCGAATAATTAAATACGAGAATTATTTCCAAGACCGCTGATGATGGGTATTTGGCAAAGCTCGAAGCAGTTTAGTATATTTTATTGATATAAAAGTAGTATATCTAATGTGATTGTAATTGTTGAATATATAAAAATTTATTAATGTTTAGATAATTAAAAACAAATACATTTAGTTATTAGATTAAAATACTATTTATTTACAGAACGGCGCCCAGCTCTAATTATTTTTTGGTGAAGTCATCATAGAGATGCTGTCAGTGCATGAGCAGTCTATTTTTTTTACCTTCTTGGCAAATAGAACGGATGAAGAATTCAAGATCTGACGAAAGCATATTTCCAATCTCAATACAATGTAATCACAATATTCCTGCTAATTCTAACATTAACTTTGTCAACTTAACACTACGCCATTCACTTTCTGAGAAGCCATGCTTAAACATACGCAAGGGAAAGGAATTCAACGGCTTGAAAGAAAAATGCGTCTCACTTAGGCACTGAAGCTGGAGTGAGTGTGATACCATGATATCACAGTGATAAGAGCATGCTTAATGTCCTAGGAAAAAATTTCGGGATCTTTACTCAGATGTGCAAAAAAATTTTGTCGCGGAAATAAAACTGGCGTTGTCTGTAATGTATATATTGGTTACATCGGACAGGCAGTTAAGTAAGCGATATATGCCTTTTGGAGAGTGATATAACTACTGCAGAAGTGATTATAAAGGCTCCAAGTGGTGAAAGTACATAAAGAAAAATAAAAAGAAATATAGGGTATGAGAAAGTATGGATGATATGGATTTGCGCTTATGTTTTCAGATGATGATAAGTGTGATGAAATAGAGTGAATTGACAGAAGTTATAATCAAGGCATCGAACCGGAATTTTTTCCGTTCCGGTTTTCGTTACGATTCTAGACAAAAAAAAATTATATTGGTTCGGTTTCGGTTCGATGCTCTGGTTATAATGGAATATATATATATTGTTTATGATGAAATTTTTATACCGTAATGCCGATTTATGTCTTAGGTTTTAAATTTGTGATCAAAGAGTTTATAAAGAGCTTCCAACCAGTACATGTAAGGGAAATATAATTTTATAATTATTTTATATTGAAAATTAGGAATGAATATACATTTGAATATAATTTTTTATTATCATTTATGTTTGAAGAAATTAAATTAAGAAAAATAAAGACAGAATAAATTACAAATACAAACAAAAATCAGTCGTTATTTAATAATTTTGAATTAATATCCAACCATGTAGCTTCATAGTATTCCAAAGTATTTTCAAATGTGTTCAAGTTTTAACTTCAAAATAAGGGCATCTCTTCCACTTAATTCCAACTTCTTTCGTAAATATTTGAATACATTTTATTATTGCAAAAATGTATAAAGTAATTGTGAAAAAAATATTTAAAATTATGTGCTATTTTAACTGCTTCCCTGACTGCGTACTCGATTTGCTGCTGCAGTAAAATGAAAAATTTTTTAAGTCCCAATGCTGTCATTAGAGCCATTCCAGTTATTATTGTATCTGCTGTTGACCTACTAAGGAAGACAATTGCTTTGCATTAGCAGTCGTGACATTTTGTGCTACTTTTGTGCTACTTTTGATGTTCGTTCCGCTGTTCCGCCATTCCACCGTTGCACCGTTGCACCGTTGCACCGTTCAGTCATTCATACAGGGCACAATTTTTGTTCAGCTCTTGTTATTTTCACAACATTTTGCAATTACTTTTATTTTCATTACCTGTGCATGCAGTTGCAGTTGCTCTCCATTCGGAATGGCCCATCTAGCCCATCTAGGAGTTTTCACTTTCTGACACTCCGCTTAGTGTCAGCGCAAACTTTTCGCTGTGCTCGCGCAATCATGTTTTTATGCATTTTTCCTGCAACGCCTGCATTGCTGCCGTTCTCTGTCCGTCATTGAGTTTTTAATCACGTAATGCTCGAATTTATATCAATGCGTTGTTGTTTTTGTATCATTTTCAGCTGTAGCATTACTTCATCCAGTATTCGGATACGCGGATTCGCGGATACATATATGGCAATAATATATTTTTAAATGTCACTGCAGTTGAATCTTGGGATCGGTAACAGTGCAACGGGCTTGTCAAGGTAAATGTCCTTTGCTGAAGTTGTGGAGGTTGTAAATTTGATATAATATTTGAAACATTTATTCTGCCTTTGTAATTTATTTAATATTTGTAAATATATATTGAGAGTTGTTTATAATTGTTTTTTTTTACATATTTTTAAAAAATTATAGAAAAGTTTTATATGAATTTGGGGAAATTGTAATGACGATGAATTGCTTTAAAACGATTCTGATTTGATCCAACTCTACCCATGCAATAATTATTCATCATCAAAGTATCATCACAATGATGATTAATATTTGGAGTTTCTGAGCGAATCCACTGATAATAATACAATTTGATCGAGTGACTATTCAACTGCACAGAAATAGGTTTAGTACGCTGCACTACCGTTGCTCTATTGAGACCTGAAATAGCTTTATATGCCTCGTGGCGCATGTTAAACCTGACAAATGCATATCCCCTAGATTCGCCCGTTTGTTTATCTCTTGCAATGTGGTATTGTATAACTGAACCATATTGACTAAAAAGCGCTTTTAATTTGTAATCAGTAAAAGTACTTGGAAGATTTGAGATATATAAAATGGTATCCTTCAACTTTTCATGATTAGGATGAGCGTATGAAACTTCTAAGCGCTTATTGTTCATCATAATTCCATTTAAGTTCTTGACAGCATGGTATGAATCTTCTGCTTTGAAGAAATCAACATTGGCATATCCGAAGTTATATCCACTGTTAATATCTCTAAATATATTGCAACTATTAACGGGACCACAAGTCCGAAATATATTGTAAAGCTGATTTTCCGTTGCATTAAGTGGCAAATTTTTGACAGTTAAGTTGGTTTTAATAGCGTCATAGTTCAATAGATTCGTATTTGTTATAGTTGCCATATCTGCTAAAGAACCCATTATACTACCGCTCCCACCTCTACCGCCATTGCCACCGCTATTGCCATTGTCATCAGCACCACCATTGTCACCGCCACTTTCATCGTCAGGACCATCACCAATTGTGAAATCAAAATAAAGATGTCGGGAATACTTATCCGGATATGATGATTTAAAATCCCCGTCTGTCACGTTTAAAAATGAGTGTGACATTTTCTGCATACTTTTCTTGCTTGGATGAGGGCGGCAGCAAAACCCACGCAAGGCGTGTCCGTTATTCATTTTGGATAAAATGTAATTACAATAAATTTTAATTATTACTAATAAACGCAGTCAAAATGATGAATTATATATGTTAATATATAATTATCCTATCGCTTTATCAAATTTTAGAACTATTCAAATTGACTCTATTCCGGATATGTTAGAAAAAAATCTTCAAATGACGGTCACACTTACGTTAGTTGTCAACACTAAATGGAAAAGAATAACTAATGTAATAGAATGTTTAGCCTTAAGTTTATTTGACATCAAACGAAAAAATAATTTTTTTTATTATTTAAAATTTGGTTTTCAATATGAATCAATATGATATCTTGAATTTATTAAAGTATTTTTATTTTAAAATTTTTTCGTTTATTTGACTTCATTAAATGAAATCTAATTTATACCAAGAATTAAAAATTTATTCATAATTTATTCGTAATGCAATTAATTTTTTTATTTATTTTGACTCGCAGTTTTTATCTCTTCGTTTTTATCAATATTTGCACCCATAATCGTCACATTAGAATGTTTTAAGGCATCCTATACTAAGCCATTCTAACATCATCCGTTAAATAAGTTAAGTACAGTAGTCTAAACACATAAAATGTACAGTATGTTGTTTAATATGGCGTTTATACTGGCTTCAAATGATTGATATGGGTCAAAAATCACATATGAAAAGCAAATGATTGATTTCTGCATACAAAATCTCAAATGAGAAAATGAGATCCACATTCGCGCAATGGATCCCATTTTGTATAATGAGTTTCAACGAGGTTAGAAAGAGTTCCAAATATATTCGCAATGCAAATGAATACATTGAACATAACCTAAATAAAAGTTTTTCATGGCATTTTGACAGTTTGAGAAAGCTGTTTTTGATATATTCCCAAAAAAAAATGTAAACAAATATTTGGTGGTTGCATTTCCTTCAAAACGATGCACCTCTTTTTGGAACTTTTACTTCCCAAAACGTACTTAATCGATGCTAAGAACAACTTTTTAGTTTATATTGTGCGGTATATTTTACCTTAATCCAACTTTTTTAGCGTTGACAAATCAGGTGTTGATAAATCAGCTGTTGATAAATCAGCTGTTTGAAATGAGAAAAAATTAATAACATGGAATGAAAACACTTTCAAATGACTGATTTGAAATGAAATAGTATAAAAGCAGTGAAGTATATATACAGTGACAATCTAACCTATCATATATTAAAAATACTTTGGTTAAGTGACGTAGATAGAAGCTATAACCCATCTCTACAGCTATCCAAATTGTGCTCTTATCCTCTACATCACCACATCATTTTTAAATAGTTGAGTGCCATGATTCGTTAACATAAAACCCTACGAGTGGAATATTCCACACATACTGTAAAATTTTGTCAATTAAAAAAATTAATATTCGAGTATACATTGGAGTAAAAATATAAAAAATATATCCATTGATATAATAAAGATTAAAACAAACAAAATTTAGAAGTGATTAATTCTTCACTTCTTTATTACAAATCGATACCATGCTTTTTGCATAAATTGCTCTTCTTAGTAAGGAAACACGATTTTATGCTCATTATTAATGGTATGGTACTTCTCCTTTACTTGGAAAGTACGGGTACAGACATATTAAGTAAACTCACAATACATTGAAATGATAGGCTAAATAATCTATTTAGCCATGGATGTAATTCTGAACGTTCTGTGAAATATGTCATATTCCAATAATATAATAAAAAATACAACTCAGTTCTAAATATATTGTCAAAGCAATAGGAGTTGAAACAATTTGACGTGATTAAGAAAACCATCACATACATCATTTTGAAGAGCAAAATTTCTGATTTGGTAAACGAAAATGGGTAAACCAAAAGTAGTCTTTGCTATTGGGGATTTGGTATTCGCAAAAGTTAGAGGTTACCCTACATGGCCGGCGAAGATCACTTCTCATAAGAACGGCGTTTACATTGTTATCTTCTATGGAACTGGCGATGAAGGACATATTAAGCGTCAAAATCTTTTTCAATACACAGAAAAGGCGAAAAAAAAATTCTCAACGGCAAGGGCACTAAAAGATCCCGCTTTTCGGAAGGGGATTGAGGAAGTTGAGGCGGCATTAAAGGACGTACACCCCGACCCTATAAGGGGTGATGACATTGCAGACGATACTCAACCTGATGATAATGTTGCAGCTATTAATACCTATGCTGGTGGTGATGAAGAACAAATGACTGCTGGAGAATCTGTCAATACGTCAGAGACGGTAGAAGTTAATGAGGAAAACATGCGGGTCGCCATACGGGTGGACGAGGAAAAGAGCAGTCAACCTAAAGATTACCCCAATGTTACATGCATCCGAAGACCAATAACACCTGAGCACTATGTTGACAAGAAGGAATGCCTAGCTACAGGTCAAGAGGATAATGTAATTTCAGTGGAAGGTATGTAAATACTTTGATGTTATATAAAAAACATGGTATACTTAACAAATTGTGGGCTAAGATATGTTTTCGGGTGCAGTATCCAATGTCGTGAAATAATATTAAAATTTAAAATTTAGTGTAGCTAGCTGCTAACTTTATAAGTTTAATTCATAAATGAAAATAAATAATATATTTTTGTTTTAGGTGAATGTTCTAAAAACATTGATGCTAATAAGCCAAAGACAATAATCCCTCCAAATACAACCCAACTCAAATTAAATAAGGTTCCCTTTACTCGTATTCCGCCTTATATAATTAATTATATGCAATAATTTCAAGAGATTATTTAATTTTAATAATTTAATTTTAATTCATTTATTTTAATAATAAAATTTGAACGCTAATCATTGTATTTTTACTTTCAATTAATTTTGACATGATTTTTGTTTACATTCCAACTATAACTAAGTTATCGGAACAGCTGATTTCAATGAGTCACTTATCGAGATGCTTATTGGAACCAAAACAACTTAAACAATCGGGAAAGCTTTTAGATAAAGAAATTAGGATCGTGTTTCCTATTAGATCAATACTTTTAGATAATGAAATCCCGAAGAGCTTTTTTGTGAATGCGTGAATTTGTTTAAAATGAACAGGTGACATTTCGGGCCAAGCAGAAGCCGAAAGAGCATAGAGTATCGAACTAATTACTGGAAACAACGTATTTTTAATAACAGAGACTTTGATCTGAAGATCAATGGTTAAGAATTGTTAATAAGACCAATAAACGCATAGGATTGTTCTTCCTTTTCTTCTTTCGCACACAAAACAAACAACGGATCCCATATGGCCTCAAACTGAATTGGCAGATAGAAAACAACCCAGTGTCCAGGTTCATTCATTAAATGTATCATTGAAGGTTTTTATAGCATTTCGTTGCAATAAAATAGTTTTATTTTTTTTAAGTTGAGTGCAACTCTGATAAATATATAATATATATCTGAACATATTGCTGACATTTACAAACAATTCAAAAACGAAATACATCTGAAAGTGTTATTTGTTCCGCTTCTTGAAAGCTTATATTAAAGTTACTGTAATTCTGTTTAATTCCGTTTAAGTTGAATAAACAAAACTTCAATTAAACATGGAATATAAAATTAATTAAATAATATAAATAATATATCTGATGAGTCTGTGTCGGGAATTACCTTCTAAAGATTTTTGCCATCAGTTTGATGTAAATGTAATTTCTGCGGTCGGGCAACATCTTTTTATCAATTCCCTCAACTCAGTCCCACTGGGGCAATTTTTGCATAGAGCATGCGGCATTGGGCTTTCATCTGAACTATCAGTCATAAGAACCGCTGGAACTGTTTATTGTAGAACATATACACAATGGCCAACGACCCGCACAGAATTGTCAGACAAAACGGCCACTCTATAATGAACTGGGACTAATGAACATGAATGAGCTAAGCAGTCTAGATGTGGCTTCCGAAAGAATTTTGAACGCGTATTCGCTTCTTAGTCCAGATAAATACTTTTGTAAGTGTGAGTTGTGGCGATATAACAATTGTTATTGTACCCACAACTTCAACAAAACTTTATTTAAAAAAAGTGTGAGTAAAATTAAGGGTTTATAGGATAACATATAGTGATCTCAACCGATTCGCGATTAGTTTGATATGTTGATGGATTTCTTAGTTGTAAGTCGATTTGTAAATAGTAATTGGAAGCAACTACTGGTTACAAATAAATGCTAAGTTTTCTTCCGAAGTAGAGCAAAAACATAATGACAATAAGAAACGGTGTAGGATATACGTGTGAGCAGTTAGTTAATCAGGGTAGTTATGATAATCATGCCTTATGCAATTATTTAATAGTGCATGATAATTATTTTCTCCTGGGTCTTTTTATTTCAATAATACTGACTTAGTTGCACAGTGTTTGATGTTCTAGCTTTTGGAAATTGATGAAACAAACTCACTCTCGAGTGAGTGAAGATGGTACAGTATAGAGCATTAGTCGTAGTCTGTAATGATGGCACAATTGAAGTTTATCCTTAATAGGATTTTAAACCTATTCGCAATAGGTTTAATTTATATAGATAAATAAATGACCTCTGTTTTTATTGTTTATTGGTGTACACTAGCTCAATTGTGTTTCGTCTAGAAATAATAGATTTCTAGATGATGATAGATGAGTGAAATGTTTGTGTGATGTCTGCTAGAAAGTCTGCTGGAAGTTCATATGGATGTAATCTTTACATTCATGTAATAAATAAAAATGAATAGAGGTGCTATAAACATCTTTATTGATAGAGGATTTAAGGAATACATATGATCTTATATGTGTATGGCTTCTGCTGCTTATTAAGATGATTTCATATTTTTGAATTATACAAAATAATATAATTATATAACCAACTCGAAACTAAACACCACGTCTTTGGTCACTTTTTGGTACTCTTTTAAATCTAGATATTTCGAAATTTAAATATATTTCATAATAGCACGAATGGTAACTATGGAACTCTGCATGAGTTTTATATCTATGCAATACGATTATCAAACAACACACACTTGCAACAATAATGTCTCACAAACGCAGGTATGGAGACTTATATAGTATGGGAGGTGTTAATATGTCAAATACCTTTGTTCCGCAAATCTAAAGTCGTAAATATCTGTCTTTTCAGATACTTTAAGAAGGAGGGGAGAACAATACCTCAAGACCTGTTTTTTATCATAGTAGGTGACATTGTCGCATGGCTCCTTAATGGCTAAGCCCATACCTTGTTATATAGTGAGTGTATATACTCGTACAATTAAACTTCTATTTGGAATG